GTCTCCCAAGAAGAAAAGTCAGGACCCTCATCATGGCTTTACTGTCAAATTCTATAAAACATTTAAAGAAGAACTAATACCAATTCTTCTCAACCTACTTCAAAAAAACCAAAAAGGAGGAAACCTCAACAAACTCCTTCTATAAGGCCAGCACTATCCTGACATTAAAACCAGTCAAAAACACCATGACAACAACAAAAACTAGAGACCAATATATCGCTGACGAGCACAGATGCAGAAAGCCTCAACAAAATATTAGAGAAAATGAATCCAATACCATGTTCAAATGAGATTTATTCCAGAGATATAAGAGTGGTTCGATATATGCAAATCAATAAACATAATTCAGCTCATCAGTAAGTCTGGAGGACAAAGACCACGTGATCACCTCAATAGACACAGAAAATCCGTTTGATAAATTTCAATATCCCTTCATGATAAAAACTCTCAGAAGGCACACACTTCGACAGGACAGAGGACACATGACAAACTCACAGGCAACATTATGCTAAATAGGGGAAAGCTGAAAGCCTCCCTAAAATTTGGAACAAAGCAATGCCAATGTTTGCACTCCCATTAACACTATGCTGGAAGTCTTAGTTAGGGAAGAGGAAAAAGAGAAAGAAAGGAAGGCAGGTAGGAAGGAAGGGGCATCTAAAGTGGAAAGGAGGAAGTTAAATGATCTCTCTGTTTGCCGATGACATGATCTTATATATAGAAAACCCTAAGGACCACCAAAAAACTGTTGGAACCGATAAAGAAATTTAGTAATGCTGCAGGAAACAAAATCAATATAGAAAAAAATAGTGTTTTTAAAAATCAAGAAAGCATCCCATTCAAAAGTTTTTTTGCAAAAAATTTAATTATCTAGAAATAAGTTTAAGAAAGTAAAAGATCTCTACGAAATTATCAAACATTGATATAAGAAATTAGAGAGGACATATAAAATAAAGACAACCCATACTCATTGATAAGAATATTGTTAAAATGTCCCTGTTTCCCAAAGTGATCTACAGATTCAATGCAATCTCCATCAAAATACCAATGTCATTCTTTAGAGAACTAGAAAAAAAAATCACAAAATTCATGTAGAACCACAAAAGAACCCTAAAAGCTGAAGCAATCCTTAGTGAAAATAAGAAAGCTGGAGACATCACAATACTTCAAAACATGCTACAAAGTGACAATAATCAAAATCGTATAACACGAATAAAAACAGGGACCAATGGAAGAGATTAGAAAATCCAGAAATTAACCTACCTATTTATAGTCAACTGAATGTTGTTAAAGGTACTGAGAAAGAAAAATTTCTTCAATAAAAGGTGCTTGGGAAACTCAACATATATATGGCGAAGTATGAGACTAGATCCTTGTCTCTTACCACATATAGAAATCAGCTCAAAAGAAATATGAAAATACTGGAAGACAACAGGGCACATACTTTGAGACAGTATCCTTTGATCAGAAATTCACTCGCAAAATGCATTTTTATATGTCTGCATTAGGACACACATAAAATGATGTTCCCGTGGTTTAATTGCCAAAGACTGAAAACATCTAAAATTGATTAATAAGGTACCAGTTAAAGAAATTATGATTAGATGAATTTAATGAAATCTAACATACCAATTATAAAAGAGAGACTAGTATATATTAACTGATAGGAAAAGACTGTCAAGAAGGGTGACTGTGTAGGACATTAATTTGTAGCTGGGCTGGAAAAGATCCATTTTTATCCCTGGGGAAGTCTGGATGTCTAGCTTTAACTTTTGGCCAAGATAAGGACAGTAAGATTCATGACAAGCTGTTTCAAGTTGCAACTCCTCTGGTAATCCTACACAGCAAGTTTGCTTACTGATGGTTTTCATTTGGCAGAACTAGTTAGACAGCTTGGCTTGATGACATGATTACAGAGGCACAAAAACCCAGCTGGGAACTTTTGCTTTGAGATCTTATCACAAAGATGCTGCTATTTCAATTTCCAATCAGTGTGTGTGTGTGTGAGTGTGTGTGTGTGTGTGTGTGTGTGTAATGACCCTGTGGAGCATGCCTCAGGCTATCCTTTGGACCCCAACATTTGCCAGAAGCCTCTTATTTTGCTGCACCATATCCTCTACCTTTAAATAAAAGGTATATTTGAGTGGAACTCTATGTAGAGTCCTCTGTTGTCCTTTCAAATATCCAAATTTGTGAAATCTTCACAGAAGTGAAATGAAAATAGCAAGGTCCAAAGTAATAGGCAGGACTGTGGGGAATGTACTTTCTGAAATGGTAGCAAGTCAAGTGGAGAAAGCTGTGAAGGGCACCCAGGAGCAAATTCTGATTCCTCCTAGATGAGGATGCAGTGGCTGTTGCAGCTGGCTTGAGAACCAGTGGATCTTGCAAATATTTCAGGACACACACTGTGAGGAAAGAGCAGCGTCACACAAACCCGGAAGGTCAAGGGTTGTGTTTTCTCTCATATGTGGAAGCTAGAGAGGAAAAACTCAAGGTGGGGGGGATCTCATGAAAAGCAAAGGGAGATCAGAGAACGGAGGAAAGAAAGGGACCAGGGTGGGGGAGGAGGGGGAGGAGTAGGGAAGTGCTGGGGATGACACTGGCCAAATTACATTGTTATACTGTGTGCATGTACTGATGGGTACAATGAATCCCACCATTATGTATGACTGTAATGTACCCACAAAAATATTTGGAATAAATTTTAAAATGTTGTCTATTAAAAAACGAAAACAAGGGCTGGGATTATAGCTTAGTGGCAGAGCGCTTGCCTAGCAGGTGTGAGGCCCTGGGTTCGATCCTCAGCACCACATAAAAATAAATAAATAAAAATAAAGGTATTGTGTCCAACTACACTAAAAAATAAATATTAAAAAAAAAAAACAAAACGAAAACAAAACCAAGGGCAGTGGCACAGCTCCAAGTGAAGCTTGACTCTGTCTTACACAGACAGTATCACCAGTATCTGTGACCTCAAACCTGCCTCTGAGGATCTTGGGAAACTGATGGTGTGAGAGGCTATACCAGCACCTGCCTGTGTAGTATTACGCCTTCACTCAGGGTGAAGACTGGGCTCCTAGAGCCCAGAGTCTAAGATATCCAAAATACAGCACCATAGAATCTATCACTCTTAAAATAATATTTTGGTAAGGAAATGTATTTGGGATTAACAGAAGAGGCCAGAAATTAGACTGCTCTAATTTGAAGGAGTGGCAATCTCTTACGTACCAGGAGAGTAGACACTTTCTCTGTCCTGAACCACAGATAGTGACTCTCCTAACTGTGGGCAAAATGAAGGCTGAAAATGAGGGCCAGGAAATGTAAGGGACAGACGGGTGCGCTGAGGATGCCAAAGTGGAGCTCGTAGTTAGATGGGGAGAAAACAACTGAGTGGAATGGGCACAGGGGCTGGGGATGCTTAGAACATGGCATGATGGGGTCTTGCTTCTCTTTTCCTGTTGGGTCTCTTCTGCTTTTGTTTTCTCGTCACAGCTACAGAAGAGAAATTAGACAGAAGTCACACTAGAAGCAGGAGGGACTTTCTTTTCCTGATCCTTTTTCATTTCTACTGCCACAGATATGTAATGTGGAGGCTGTGAGATAAAAGTGAGGTGTAAAAAGAAGGGCTTGTGGGAAGGTCCAAAGTGGCACGGCAGCATTTTCTCTGCTGGGTTTTTAAGAATTTATCTCCCTGGTTCGGGAGCAAAAAGGAAGAATGGGCTATTGGAGGAGGGGTGGGAATAATGGGGCTGAAAGGAGAAAAAGAGAGCAATGTTCACACTCCAGAAGAGGAAATATATACCCACCTACAGCTAGCTACAAGATCACTGTAAATAAGTGATGCATGTAAGTACTAATAAGCACAAATTCTTTAATATATTTTTATCTTTTGGAATTCTTAGAAATTAACTTTGTCCTCTCTGAACAAAAATTATTGTTCTTTTTCCTTCTTTGTCCCTTTTTCCATCTATCCATCTATCTACCCATCCATCCATCCACCTACCTACCAACCAGAAAATAAAAGGGGAAAACTAGTTTTTAAGGACTCCTAAAAAAATTTAAGTAGGCACCAAAAGCAGTTTTAAATTTTATACACCAATGAATGTCCTTATGAGCATGCAATAAACAACGAAAGGAGAAACACAGCGGCAGTGGGAATGCGCAGCACAATGGGAATGTTCCGATCACACCTCTGTGGATTGGGGACAAAGGATCTGTCCCTTTTCCAAGATGTTTTTCACATCTCTCTGTGGTTATGGGACATAAGGTTCTGGCTCTTTCTAAGAGTGAAAAATCAATTTGGGAACACATACTACAGGAACACAAATTCACCCTGAAGTATGTACTCTTCAGTTCCATAAACATCCACTAAAGGAGAGAAGAAAGTAGGAAAGGAAAGAGAAAGAGACAAAGGGGAACAACAAAATAGAAAATGAAAGAGGAACAGAAATGGGGAAAGATAAAAAGACAGGAAGAGGCAAAAGAAGATAAACTAAGAAGAAAGGACATCCAGAGGGGGAAAGAGAAAGGGAACAAAAAGGAGCAGGACTGTAGCTCCCAGCCATTCTGGTGGACTCCCTGGGAGCTGGCTGTGATGAGACAGTCATGCTGTTTGGAATTGTTTAGAATGACTAAAGCTGTGGCACATATTTTAAGCCCCTCTATTTAAGCACATGTGGTGTGAAACACTTGAAATGTGACTAAACCGAACTGAGATGTCTGTAAGTATAAATGCACACCAGATTTGGAAGTCTTTGTATAAAAAGAAAGAAAGTGAAATATTTTGGATATATTTAGGCTAAGTATAATGTATTTTAAAAATTAATTTTACTTTTTTACCCTTATAAACATAGCAACTAGAAAGTTTAAAATTACATCTAGGGCTCATATTACATTTCTGTTGGAATGCACTGTTCCAACATTGTCACATTTTAATGATTTTAATCAAGGCTGATGAAGTAGGCTTGCTAATGTCTGAATCCCCCAAGCTGCTAAAAACATACCAATATGCTGGACTTTTTCATCAATGACCTCACAGTGGTAAGGCCACCGTGTTGGGCTCAGGGGGCCAGAAGAAGAGACACCATATAAATCCCGTGGTTCACGAAGGCGTGGCACCCATCTCCCCAGCTGATATTCCAAGAGTATTTGTGTGGTCCGAGGGACGAATGGGTCACCAAAAGAATTGGATGAGAAAAAGATTCAAACACAACCAGGAGTGACAAGAAGGAAAACACCAATTCTTACGATGTTTTACATAGTTCCTTTTTTCTTTCCAACACTATTCAATTTATGAATATTTGTGGATATCATTAGTACTAACAATTATGACATTTTTAAATAAAAGCACTAATTAAATTTTGTGACAACTGATCTTCACAGAGGCCAAAAAAATATTGTCAATTTGTATGCTATCAATTTATTCTCGCCACTACTCTCCATACATCTGGTTCTTGCAGCTCTCCTAGCACTTAATCAACCATTTATCACACTCCTTGTCCATGGGTTAAATACATTCTGGGACTACAACTCCTCACTGCTTCCTGCAATTATGTTCTCAAAGGTTGCTAGTGATCTCTCAGTCACAATCCCCCCCGCCCTCCGCCCCAGTTTTCATTCTAGGGTCCCCATGTGGCAAGCCCCCTGAACACAGTGGGGCCACTCCTAGCAGGCAGTGCAGTGGCCCTGTCTCTAACTGTGTGGCATCGATTTGCTGAGAAGCTCCCCTTAAGCCATTTCCTTCCTTAATGATACTACAGAAACTGACAACTAGTCTCTAACTAGGAACTTGCCAGTGAAATGACCCAAATAAGGCCCCCTCTCCACTCTAACCAATCAAGTGTTTTCTTTGCCTTGCTTCTGCATTCACCCTGTGAAAGCCTTACCCTCACACCCCTTAGGTGGAGCCCCAAACCACTTCCAGTGTTCAGCTGCCTGATTTTTTTGTGAATTGCTGTTTGTTCAAATGAATTATTTTTAAAAATTTAATGTGGCAAATTTTATCTTTTAACAATAGGTTTCACCCAAATTGGAACAAAACGGCCAATCTTAAGTCCTTTATAAATGAATCATAGCTTTCATTTAATTTCTTTTACTATTTTCTAATATAAACCAGGTTTACCTAAAATGATCCCAAAAAGCTTAATCTCCAAAAGATGCTTATAAAAGTGTATACAACAGTTCTCATTTCTGTCTCCTACTCACCAGAATAAAAATTCTCTATTTTACCCAATCTGACTTTCTTAGTTTCTTCACTTTTTATCTACTCAATGTCTTATGATAAAAGGGAGGAAAAATATATGGATAAGTTCAAACCTGTTAATAGTGTACACTGACGAATATCTTCACTTACAAATTTCATAAATGTTTCTTCATCCTAAAACAAGAGAATTTTTAAATTAAAAAAAATTTCTAAATCCAGATTTTTTTTTTACATCTATCTTAGTCCCTGGGATTGAGTACATGCCTTTAATGTTTAATAATAAGGAAATTAAAGATTTATTATGGGTTACTGGTCTCAAAGCAGTATCTCAAATACCCTGGAAATATAAAGTTTGCATCTTTATTGCTCCTCTTCCCCTGGGAATGGCAACAATAACCACAGGGAAAGAATAAAGGCTGAAGTTCAAAGGTACTTAGTAAACTTGGAAACACAATTTAAATTAAGATTAACAACAATAAAAAGAAACAGAAAACCATAGACTAAGAGGTTATACTTTATTTGGGGGAGCTTACTTTTACATAATTTTTTACTATAATAAAAGTTAAAAGGAATATCTCAGAAATGTGTACAAGGATCAGACAAAATGTTTTTAAACACTACATTTCTCTCCCATTTCCTTCTTCCATATTCTTTCTTTTGTGATATCATAGACATATTAAACCTATCAGGGTTCTAGCACCATATTCTATGATGTAACACTACAGAATTAGTACACAAAAGAAAATAAGTGGAAAAGAATTACAAAAATAAAACCCAATGATTTAATAGATAACAAAACCCAGGATAATAATAACAATTATTTTCTTAAGAAGACATATAGTTTTGCTTTCTAAATAGGGCAGACTGCACAGAGTAATAGCTTAGTTTTTCTATTGAATTATGTCCCATCTTCCATGACAATGATTTAAACATACAAATGACTTTGTAATATTTTAATTGGGAATATATATTTTGTAACATTTTATCTCAAATTAAGTAAAATAAAATTTGAGAAAAACATACTAATTCATCTTCATCACTGACTGTTCTGTCTGAATAGTCCTCCTTTTCTGAATCTTCTGACATCTCTTCCAGTGTTAGGCTTGAAATTTATTACGTGGATAGGCTGTAAAACAATTTCTAAGAAACTTATTTGACAGATTTTTTTTAAGCTGAAGGGTTTTTTTTTTTACATTAAATAAGTACTAAAAATGCATTCAATTGTATTTAGTTAACAGTGACAAGATGCTAATTAAGCCTTTAACTTCAAAGATTTGAAGAAACTTTCTATTACTATGAGAAACACAAAAATCACAATAAAAGACAAATCAGGTTAATAATTTAATTTAAAAAATCCAGAGTACACAGGAAATTCATTAACATTCTATATTTACAATTAAATGTTACATAGTGAAAATAGGTTCAGAATGATCCTGGAGGCATTAAAATAAATAAAAATTACAGTTGCTTCTTCAGGCAGTGATATGGAGCAATACAGTTTTAAAAGGTTTTTTTCCTCCTTAATTTTCAGTTCAAGTGAAAATTCAAGTTCAAATGACAATACTTTTCTTTGTATAATTTAATACTATTCTGTAGACACCGTCACTGTTCTAATATTCAATTATATTATTACTGAAACCTCAATAGCTACCAGAAGGTTGTATTGATGACGACCATTATGTGCCTGTCCAAGTATTCTCCCACGTAGTTATCATTAAGACAATGAAATAATCGAAATTCCTTGCCAAGATTCTATAGATTGGGAGAGGAATTTACCAATTTCAAATCTATTGGCTTTTGCTCCTCTCTACAAACAGCGTGCTCTGGAACGTGGGCTGCCCAGAATAAGGTCCAAGGTCCATCGCAAAGAACTACAAATGCAATTGAGAAAATTGCGCATCGGCGACTCCTCTAGTGTCGAGACTGCCAATTTACAAAACCGGACAGGCCACCTCTCGAGTCCGTTTCCTTACACGTGCAAAGGAGGCTCACCACGTGCTGACCCGCAGTGGGGTAAAACCTTGGCGTCAGCAAAGCCCCAGCAGAGGTGTAAGGGGCGCTCCCACGTGTGCAGCAGGAGCCTGCGGGCCCAAGTCCGCCACAATACAGGGTGGCAGTCTACAGGGTGGCAGTCTCCCCAGCTCACTCCCGCAGGACGCTGCACAGCGCGGGGGAGCTCATTTTCCGTCCGTGCTTCCGCAGGGGCGTCCGCCTCCAACCTTCCTTCCTTCTCTGCACTTCGTCCCGCCTCGGGCGGCCCCTCACTCCCAGGTCTTTTGTCCCACTCGTGCTGGGAGACTATTTCGAGAACTCCTTAAAGCACCCGGGTCTAGAGCTAGCAGGAGCTCCACTGTCTTTTAGCAGCCTCAAGCACTCCCAGGCCACTCGTTACCTAGGCAACGGCCCGCTCTCGCGAGACCACGTGCATCCTGCGGAATCACTTAGCAACCAGCGCATCAGCGGTGAGCTGCGCCAGGGCTTTAGCGGAGAGAATGGAGCCGCGGGGTTTGATGGGGCCTCAGGACAAAGTTGCTGGGCGGCCAGAGAAGTTGGGGGTAGGTTAGGACGCTGGGATCTGTGGGAGCATTTAGGAAGGTTTTAGTCCCTCCTGTTCTGCATGCCAACTGGTTGTCAGGCCTTTACTCAGAGAAGGCGGTAAAGCATACTTGTTAAGATTTGTATTTTGGAGCTCATCTGATCTTAACAGCATGACCGTGGACAAGTTGATTTTTCTGGACTAAACTTTCTCATCCTTTGAATAGATGCAATAATTGCAACTACTACTTGGAGTTGTTAGAAGACTAAATCGAATGTTGGTCTTTGTATGCACGGTGAGTTCCATTCTGCACAATTTTATTCTGAAAAATGAAAATTTTCTCCATAAGGGTTGATTTGGAGGAGTCATGAACATATTAGGATGAACTCTCAAAATTCTTATTAGCTTTGATATTCTTTAAATATAATAATCATTAGCTAACAAATTTACAAATTTAAGGGTTGATTTGGAGGAGTCATGAACGTATTAGGATGAACTCTCAAAATTCTTATTAGCTTTGATATTCTTTAAATATAATAATCATTAGATAACAAATTTACTGTCTTCTGGGGCATGGCAAATCACTCTGTGTGTATTATCTCAATTAATTACATATGACCTTTCCATAACAGGCTTAATATTATTTGTGTACATATCATTTTGATTTTCCCCTTATCTTTAGCTCCAGTGGATAATTTAAATGTATTCGGAACAGTTTTCCAAGTATAGCTTAAAAAAATAAAAGAATTACAAATATTTGGAGTCTTAATGGAGATAATGGATTATAGCAGTTTGAAAGTAGAATAAAAGCAAAGCACTATGGTTTAAGCATGGAAATAGGCTAACATTATAGATTTTGTAAGTTTTTGAAAGTAAGGTTTTTTTAGATAAGCAACTTAGAAATTTGAACGTTCCACATTAGGCCCAGGCTTGAGAAAATAGATAAGCTCTTTTGAAAATAAGTCTTCATCATACCTAATTTTATGCCATGCAAACATCACTGAAGGTGACTTGCACAGAGAATCTTTGCTATGGTTTGGATATAGTTTGAATGTGTCCTGAAAAGCTCCATATATTGTAATTTAATCTCTGTTGTGAAGTTTTAAAAGGGTAAAAACAATCTATGATGTTTAGAGGAGGGGCCTTTGGAAGGTGATTAGGATTAGATAGTTATCTGGGTGGAATCTCCATGATTGAACACTAGTGGCTTTGTAAGGAGAGGGGTGAGAACCAGTACAGAAGTGTGTGTGTGTGTGTGTGTGCGCGCGCACACACACACACACACACACATATGTGATGCCGCATATCCCCTCGGGATGTTGTCAGCAAGAAGACCATCACCAGGTGTGGTCCTTTGACCTTGTGCCTACAGAACCAGGACCCCAAATAAACCTGTTTGCTTTCAATGTACCCAGTCTGGTATTGTGCTAGTGGCAACAGAGAACAGATTAAAACAACCTTTAAGTGTTTCTTCTGTTGGATTTTACTAATGGTTACAAGGTATAGGATGTTGGATGCACAAGATAAAGCTCCTGAGAAAGATCTAATCAGGTTATACAAGAAATAAATGGCAAAGCTAGGATTCAAGTCTCATTATTTTGAGTTCAAATATTTGTAGGTCCAAATATGTTAAGTAATCCTTATAAAGGAAAATTATCTTAGTGCCTAATAAAAATGCTTAGGAATTCAACAAAACTTTGAAAATCATACACCTTCATATTTCATGAATTCCACAAATCTTTATTGAATGCTCCCTGCATGTCAGGGACTGTGCCCAATGTAAGGCTACTGCAGGGAACAAAGCATTCTCCCCAGGGATGCATTCTAATGGGAGAGAAGTGTTGTGAATTACACAGGGTAGTACAGTTCAGCCAAAGCTTAGCTGGAGTTGGTATCACTTTAAAGAAATGATTTTTTTCCTTATAAGTTAAGGTGGACTAGAGTCAACTTCCACCAAGGACTTTCTATCAGTCTGAGTTTTCCTTCTAGTTCCCTGTGATCTGAGAAAGTTACTGGTCAGACTCCTTGTATAGCCTCATCTGCCTTTTTGGAAGGCAGATTTACTTCTGCAGCAGCTTTCCCTCTTCTGCTTTTTTGGTGAGACTACTACAAGACTGCAATCTAAAAGGCAATATTTTTTTTTTTTAAAAGTGGAATAAGAAAACAAAGGAGCAGACAACCAAAACCATACCCCAAAGGCCTAATCACTGGTGTGGGAATCAGGAGAATTCATCTTAGCAATATGTTCAAATATAAGTTATGTTGGGAATATACTTTGTGTAATTATATCAATTTGAGTTTATTGAACAGACTTCAACTAGAATAAAGTCCTAAAGGGCAATTAGTTATTTATGACATCATAGAAGTTAGTGGTCATGGGGCCCTTGAGGTCTTACCACAATTTGGTTGATGAAGTCATACTAGGGCTTGGGAACCCAGGAGTAGTCCGGTACCATTCTGAATCTTCCTCAGACCATCTGGGTGTTGGATGACAGTATCAGGCCAAACCTCTCAAACTGTCTCCAAGTTCAAATCTAGCCAGCAACTAACCAAAACTCAGTTCAAGAGTAATTCCCATAAAGACACTTTTCCTAATCTCTCTATCATTAATAGAATTCATTTTATTTGGAGACTACAAAGAAGCAGCAATTCCCCTTAGCACTTGGAATGTCCCCTACCTGCTCAACAAACATCAGGCTAAATTAATTCAAAAGAGAACAAATGGTTCTCAGGCTCAGTATGAAATCTCATGGCAAAAAAAAAAAAAAAAAGTCTTCCCTCCTCAGTAACTGTCCCTGAACTGTGCAGTGGTGATATTTTTTCTACCAAGGATATGTTGGCCAAATTTAATAATGTTTCAGCCTCTTCCAACTCCTAAAACAATTTTATTCTGGTATTTTGTATTTAGATTCAGTATTTAGTTCGTTTTGAACTTCCAGTTTCAAACTTAATTCAAAGTTCCCCTTCTCCCAACTTCTCAGAGCAGCCTAGGTGTGTCCCTGCTCTGGTGGCGCAGGAAATGGGAGGGAGGTTGGTGCTTTGCTGTTTCCATCCATCCTGTCTTCCTTCTAGTTTCTAGCTCTTCGCTGTGTTAGGATGAGGATAGGCTGGGGAGCCCAAGGGGCGAGGTATCCTTAATTGGCCAAGTTACTGGCTGCATGGTTGGACTCACATCCTGTCCTATCTGTTAGCTTCACCAGGAAAGCAGTGGCTCTGACTTGACACTGTCTTCAAGGCTTGCCCCTAGGCAATGATCCCTTGTGACAGACCGGTGGGGAGATAAAGGGGGGTAGGGGACAGGGTCCTTAAGAGCAGGAGCTCAGTAGCTGACAGCTGGGGGTCAAATATTCTACCACTAAACAGTTGTATGAGTACAGGGAAGTTTTTGAAGTTCTTTGTGCTTCCATTTAGTTACCGTAAAGTGGGGTGTTTTAGACAGCTTTTTCGCTGCTGTGATTAAAGGATCTGACCAGCACAACTGTAGGGGAGGAAGAGTTTATTGGAGGGCTCACGGTTTTAGAGGTCTTAGTCCAGAGAAGGCTGGCTCCGT